GATACTTTGATCTACTGTCAATCAAAAGACTGCTGAGTGATTCCAATCGTTAATAAGGTTGCAAACTTATCAGTTAGAAATCAAAAGAAAAGCAAATCGGGACGAAATCCAGCAATGCAAAAGCCCAATTCAGAGGCACAAACCTGTTCAGCTCCCAACCATACGGTCAAAAATGCGGGTTTAAATACTGAAATTCGATAAATTTTTTTACAAAACGACCACACTCTTTCCGCTTGGTTCCGTTCCCGTTCGCTTTGCAACCGTGCAACAAACTCCCTGTATTTAGTGTAGACGTTTTGTGTGGCACCAAAATGCTCATAAATTGTGTGAAGTTCTTCGAACACGTTTCTACCAAATAAACCCGTCACTTTAGCGTTACAAACTGGTTTCATCGTCCTGAAATCGGCCGCTTCTCACCATCGGGATTCACCGATTTTGAATTCAGCAATGAAAAAGTAATCAGAATAATGACCACCATTCATCCCAACGAAAAAATATTCGTTTTATATATTCGAACAATGCTTTGGGAATATTTACAATGTTTTTCACAGAGTTATTGTTCTTGAATTCCTCTCAAATGAAACGAAAACATTTTACTGTATTATAGGAAATTTCCATTCAAGGGTATATAAGTACATGTGTGAAAAGTATTCTCAAGAGGGCAAACAATAGCTTACTCGGAAACATTCTTCTGCGTTGCGCTATTCAAATGTGAAAAATAATCGCCAATTTTCATGAGAATTTGCATTTCGTCGACGCGTTCAGATTGCATTCGACGGATTTCTTCACTCTGAAATCACTTGTAAACATGACGAGGAAACTCAAAATTCTCATCAATCTCCACAGTATTTAACGGTTCAGAAGTCAGAGGGGTGCTCTAATCCTTTCGGCAATAAGTACGTTATAAATAGTGGTGCTAGTGATGGTGATATTATGATCAAATTTACTGACATGAGATTGATAAATCAGAAGTCATGATGGTGAAGAGAATGCGGGAGGATTTTAGCTCATTCGCGTAAATTCCCGAGAATCATTGGATGCAACTGGGATCTTTCAGAATGTAGCCACCAACAAAAAACTGTATTTCGAATGGATTTTTACGTAGGATCAACACTCATCAACACATCAACATTACTTTACCATCCGATCACTTCAATCGTTTGAACAATCACCTGATTATTTGAGAGCCAATAAAGATGTTCATCATCCAGGTGGGCGGTTTGGTTTTTGACT